ACTTTCTTTATTGTAAAGAGGCTATTTGTTTGGTATTCTACTTTTTGTTAGAGACAGAGCTGCCTTTTAATATACGTCTACTTCGTGTTTTTGTATATTTAAATTCAATTAACATTTATTCTGCATTTAGTTTTCAAGTGCATTATAAATAATGCAATATTAGTTGTCATCATCTGTGGTCAGGTGTGCTTTCCTCAGAGATAGATGCTGTCCATTGCTACAAGATCAAACCTTTGGATTAGCACAGTGATGGCGAACCTTTTAGAGACCAAGTGCCCAAAACTGGCCCCGCCCCCACTCCATCCCCTGCCCCTCCCCCACCCCACCTGCCCACAAGGCCACTCACCGCCTCCAGGGTCCACCGCAGATCACCCAGGCAGCCCAGCAGCACCATGGCGGCCACGCCCTCTGCCCACGCCTTGCAGCATCAACTGCGTGATGGGGTGTGAGGGCAGAGACTTGTCTATGCTACCTGGCTGCCATGTCCTTGGCTGTGCTGCTCCACGTGGCCCACGCTCGGGGGTGAATCTCCTTCAGGGGGGCTGCTGGAGAGGGGGTCACGGAGGCGAGGCTGGGGCAACAGCATCTGTGCCCACAGAGAGGGCTCCGAGTGCTGCCTCTGGCACCCATGCCATAGGTTTGCCACCATTGGATTAGCATGTTTAGGGCTGCAGAAGTCAGGATAATAAGCGGAAGGCAGGAAAGACAAACAGTGGAGAAAAAAATCTCTTTCCTTCCATCCAGTGGTCATCTGGATTTTTGTGACTATAAACATCCTGAACTCCAAACAACCCTGCTCTCAACATCTCTGGAAGCCTGACTCTTCTCTCAGACTTTGGAGTAACATGGTTGTTGAATCCCTATTGGTTTTTCTACAGAGATTTAAAACTATTTTTTCATAGACACACATTTTTTAAATTATTCATTATAAGCTGCCCAAGGCTATCTAGAGTGAGGCAGCATCCAAATTGAATAAATACATAAATAAATAAACAAACCCAAATAATTATGATTTATTCAAGAAATTGTAGTTAAACAAACTGTGTCCTAACTTATTCACCTGCTTACTCAGGTGTTATTTCCATTATGTTCCATTAGGCCTATTCCATAAGTGAGTGGGTACTGTATTTCAGCCTTCATTTTGTGTGATAAAAGTATCCTCATTAGTAGAGGAAACAATGACAAATTAAAAATGCAAATCTATTGAAAAACAACCCAAGTGCTCCAGTTACAACTAAACCTTCCACAAGAAGAGCTGTGTAAGAATGGTATTCAGGTGTGCACAAACTGTAACAACCTGGGATTTCAAAAAAAGGAAACAGACCACCTATACAACATCTTCCAACAAAATAGATACCCAGGCAACTTTATCAAAAAGTGCCTGACCACTCAACCCACTACAGCACAACCAGCACAATTTATGAAAAGGACAACATTACCATATATCAGACAACATCTCTGAAACAATGCACAAACGATTACAACCACATGGCATCACCGTAGCACACAAATCAACTAATGCCTTCCAAAACATCTTAAGCCACCCAAAAGACCAGTAACCCCAGAAGAAAAAGAAGTCATTGACAACAAACAGTGTAAAAAGTATGAGTAAATCTTTGGTTCTGGTGACCAACTCAGATTGGATCTTGCATACAGTGTAAGGACTGCAACAGCCACCATATAGGATAGACAGGCAGAAGATGAGCAGAGTACATCCATGAACACCAGTTAGCAGTCAGAAGACAAGGTGAAAGCTCCTTTCTCACAACACATTGACAAACTCAACTATGGTTTCAATTGTAAAACTGCAAGCATTGTAAACTAAATCCAAAAGTACTAGGCAATACCTGTAAGATGGGGATTCTAGCAAATCAGATCTCAATAGCCACATAGAGATAAACCATACAATATTTACATACCATTCATACAGAGAAAATAAAAAGCTAAGAAGGAAACAAAAGGTCCAGAACACATCCTGTCCAGCAGCCAATATCCAGATAAGTAGCAATTAACACCAGACAAACAAGCAGGCAGAAAACAATGCCCTAATCAAGTAACTACCAAGGAGAAAACCACATCTTCACCAACATGGTAGGACAATTTATTATATATAAACAGAGCAAATCCCACACTCACTAGTACTGATAATATTATCTAGTTGGATAATGAAATGTCTGCAAGCAAACAAGCAAGCTCAGAAACCACCAAGAACCCCACAGTACTCTTTTCAATCATTATGAACGGTAACAGATTTTAATCATACAACTTTCTCAATCGCATTAATGGTTCCTCCCCCCCAGCTAATGGGAGCTTTTGGAAGTAATAGAAATAATATTTAGAACCCAGGTTTGTAACTTAACATAAAGTTAGAAAAGGAATCATTTTGTCTCTCTTATATTCTTCTTGTATAGCAAATATTTCAAAATACAGTCAGTTGCCATTGTTTCTCCAAAATAAATCAAGCCTTGTAACACAGCCCTCTTCTCTTTTACTCTTCTCACATAGTAGAATGTAGAGGGCAACCAGTGTATTATGCTTAGCTTAAAGCAAGTTACATGTAAATTATTAATCCACATATATTTCTTGCCTTTCCTATGAATAGGACTAACTGCTGATCTCAAATACAGATTGACAAGAATTTTCCGATCACTTTATGTATTTTATAACAGTTAGAGGCATTTTATTATTTTATTTTAAAACTACTAACAGTGTGATGGAAAAATGGGGGAAACAATCTGTCCACGATCCATAGGTGACCTTAATGAATCATGAAGCATGAATCAGTACTTTGAACTTCATGAACCCAAGTATCATAATCAAGCAATTTGGCATAAACTGAAAATATAAAATCATAATTTTATCTTAAAATTTATGTTAAGCTTCAGCTTTATCAGTCAGAGAATGCATGAACTTCTTTTTCACTGTGTTCTTACTTAACTGGCAAATTAATCTTGCTGTTTAATATGCCCTTTAATATAAATTTCTATTTAGATTATGGCTAATAAATTTCAATTTAAACAGTTGACTAGATTTCTTTTAGCCCCAAGTTTAAATCTCACAATTTGGGAGTTAAATCCCATGTTATAATAATATGAAACATATAGCTTTAGCAAGTATAGTAAGTAACAACAGGTAGTTCTCAACTTACAACAGGTTGCTTAGTAACCATTTGAAGTTACAATGGACTTTCCTGGGGTAATTATGACCCAGTTCTGAATTCTGACAGTTACCTCCTGCCTGCAGTCATGTGACCACATCAGGTGCTGGGCAACAGCTCATTCAGCATTTATGGCCACGTGCAGCGTCCCCAGTCATGTGACCACATTTTATTATGTTTTTTGCTGAAAATTGGCATTTACTTTCAGCAAAACTGGCCCATATTGAACTATTGGTTCACTTAAAGACTGTTTAACAACTACTGTAAAAAAGATAGTAAAATTGGGTTGGTGACTTGGGTGACTTGTTTTATGACTGTCATGACTTATGATTATGATGGACAGGCTCCATTACGGTTATAAGTTGAGGACTACCTATAAATGTTTTTAATATTTTTTCTCAACATAGGAATATACTGTGGAATAGAATCACAGAATATTGGGAGGGTTATCTGTACATCTACCAATCCTATCAGAGCCTAAAGAAGTAACACTACAAACCCTAATCCTGATTAAATTCTCTGTTTCTATTATGAATTAAAAAAATTTTTTTATGTGAGCACTAGTTATATATTAATATAAACAGATAACTTTGATTTGTTGGTCATCATACAGCTTCAGAACCAGAGGCATCTATGAGGGTAGAACAAAACCAAAGCTTCACCCTCTTTTACATGCATCAACTCTTGGTCAGAGCATATCCAAGAAAAGAAGGAAAAATTGGGACTGATGTCAATTTGTTAACAAAAGAGGAAGGGGATGCAATTTTGGGAGATTCCATTATTAAGAACTGCTCAAAAATAGATTATACTGGTTGCTTTTATGCTTTTATGTACTGGGTTTATGAAGTATGGTTTAAAAAATGTAATATCGGTCTGCCAGGTATTGTCTCCAAGATTAATCTCCTGTCCCAGCTGCAAAATGCTTTCATTTTATGAGTTCCAATTAAACAAGAGTAAATAATCTCTCTTATACAGTACATAGATACATTACAGTATGGAGTAAATTGACTGGATGGAAACCTAAATTGTCTATCATCTCTTCTGGAATCCTGTATCTCTTTCCATATAAAAGTAGTTGCAAATGAGCAAGAGGACTGAATAATAACTTGGGGTTTTCTGTGTACTTCTAAACACTTTTCTAAAATTAATGCATAATAAAGGAAATTCTTTCTGGTTGCAAAGTTCACGTTCATCTCCATTAACGGAGCCTTGTATTTCAAAAGGGTTGATGTTTTTCAGATTATCGCATATCACGGAAATATTTTGAGCACCTTTTTAGATGAAAAGCAGAATTCCATGCTGGGGTGTTATGTTGTTGATAAGGATATATTGAAAAACGGTGGTCTTCAGCTTTGCAGTGGGGAAAAGTATATTTAAATAGAATCTTATATTCTCGGTTGAGGGGGATCAAGAGAAAGCTTGCTAAGTCAGTAAACCAGGGCTCTCATGGAACCTGATTTTTCTGAGTGGCAATTCAGTGAAAAGCAATCTTTGAAGTTTAAAACCTTTCTAGCATTGGGAAATCAGAGAACCACGGCAAACCAATTAGCAACTGGGATATCAAAGTGTGGCATGTAACAGGAGAAACAAGGACAGGAGCCCTTGAGTGACAATTTGAGAGGCAGGCAATTCCCTGGAGGAAATTCTCCAGAACGTTAGAAACAGCTTGTACTGCAACCCTAAGACTGAATCAGTCCAGCTACCTATTTGACCAGGCAAACAATCCAACTGCATTTGTGATGTGCTGGTGGGAGACAACTATACAGACTAACAAGTTTGCATTTTGGATTCTGACCAGGTTGAGCAAGTTATAAGCTCTATTTTTTTCTACTCTATGAAAAAGGCACAGCACAACATTTTTCTAACTGGAACACCTGGCAGCATCATTAACAGCATTCCACAAGGATCTCTGGTGAGGCAACCAACGCTATCCAGTTGGCAAGGTGGAGAATAAAGGTGGAACTCAGGAGCATCCGGTGACAGCATACCAGGACTGGAAGCACCTAAGCAGCACATCAGAAATCCATCTCTCCTCATCCAAAAGGTAGCATGGCTCTCCTCAAACTTTTTCTCATGGCTTTCAGCTTTGTCTTCTGGGCAGCAGGTCTAACCATGCTCACCATTGGTATCTGGGCCAAGATTTCATTAGGTACCTACTTGATGCTGTCAACCAATCAATACTCTCCCAACCCCTTTATTTTGTTGGCTGCTGGCATCACTATCATCATATGGGGCTTTCTGGGTTGCTTTAGTGCTGCCACTGAACATCGTTGCCTATTGCGCACTTATGGGGGCTTCCAGCTGGCTGTCTTGGCTGCTGGACTGACAGCAGGGCTGTCTAGCTTGTTTTATCGTGAGAATATTGCTGAAGGTTTCCAGAATGGACTGCGAGAAGCCATAAATTCCTACACCAATGATGAGGAAAAAGCAGAGGCCCTGGATTCCATTCAGCGCAACCTGAATTGCTGTGGCATAGACAGTTACCGCGATTGGTTTTCCTCACCCTGGTCTGTGGAGCAACAGGCACCTAATGGCTCTGTGCCCCTCAGCTGTTGTAGGACCCGAAAAGGTTGCCTGCATGCTCCACTCCCTTCCGATGCTAAAGGTATTTACCACAACGGATGTTTCAGCAAGGTGCATGACTTTGTCAGCTACAATATATTCTACATTGCCTCAGCTGCACTTGGGCTGGCCCTCATGCAAGTTGTGGGGATCGTCCTTTCTTGCCTCCTGGCTGCACGTATCCTACCACAGGGAGAATCAGTTGCAGGGACCATCTCACACTGAATATGGAGTCCTGAGAGCCTTCCTTCTTCCAAGGCATTGTAGCCTTCTTCCATAAACTTCACTTTGCAGGACCAAATTCTCCAACATTGTTGGATAGTTGCATATCAGACTCTTGTAGACTCCTTTGCTCCAGCTAGCATTATCTTTGTCACCATGACAAGAAACTACTCGATGTCTTCTCTTGTTCTCTTTTCTTGTAATATAGAACAATGCTATTTTGTCTTGCAGAAAGAAGTTTCTTTCCCAATTAGCTTCCTTTTTAACACCTTTAGCAACTGGAGTTGGCAGCCTTTCTGTAATTCAGCTGGAGATTTTTTGGCTCACTTCACAGATAATTAAACTGTAAAGCTATTCTCAGTTGGATGCCTTTTAAAAACTACTTCTTTTATCAACAGTGCTAAGAAGAACAAAACCTCCATTTTTTTTTCTTGTGCCAGCCAGTGAAAGTTTTGTGATAACAGTTTGCTGGGGGAGTGGAGAGAATTGAGAAGATGACACAGATTAAGGTTAGAAGTTAGTCCCAGTATTATGATAGGAATGTGGAAGGGGGGTTGTAACTTATTATAATTCAGTCATAATATACTGTAATATGTTTCTTGAAAAAAAATAATACTATATGTACTTCTGCCTAGAAAAAGGCCCTGTGGCTTCAATAGAGTTTATTCTGAAGGAAATCCATAAGATTGCAGTCCAAATGGCAACCCTCATATACTCATGAAAAGCGTCTTTGACATCATGCTGTAGGTCTTAATTCAGCAACTGTTTCTCCTTTAAATTGTATTTTGATTTATCTACATTATTTCAAGGTGTAGTTATAGGCTTAAGATGTTTAAGATAATTGCTCTAACCTGTCTATCTGATACCTAATATTTTATCTACAGCTGATATCACCATACATTAAGTATTGTATGTGAACATTACAGAATTTAAAACCTTGGACTGTGATTTTTTATTTTGTTTTAATTAGCAAGCAAAAATATTTCCCTATTTAGTAATGTTATGTCATCAGAGTTTTTCTTTGTATTTCTTCACAGCCTGTCCCCTTTCCTTGTAAGTTATATTCATCCTAATTCGACTGACATGGAAAACTTTTGTGGCCAGCTAATAACATGGATAATTTGGCTACCTCATCTTGGGCACATGATTTTTCTGAGGTTAACTCTTCAAAGTTAAACCTATTCATATGATATGTCATTTGCAAATGTGGGTTTTTTACTTCCATAAGAGTTAATAAGAAGCTATGGGCATTAAAGTTGCTGATCTTGTCAGAAACAAAGTTAGATTCTTTTTCCTGGCAATTTTCACAAAGAGAAAAACATGTAAGATCTTGCTATCTAAAACAGAAAAAGAAAACTTTAATCACTACCCTTTCTGGTTTTATTTTTTAGAGGAATTATTCTGTTTGATTCAGTTTCTTTTAAATTACAAATTGGCAGAGATGTCAATGAGTAATAATTTATCAATGACTGGTATGGTAGGTTTATGCCTGGCTTTTCAAGTGGGTCTGATTGTCACAGACTCTCATATTCTGTTCAATACCCAGAAATTTATCTTTAGTCAATGCTGGCTGAGGAATTTTGGGAGTTCTGCACCTTTTACAGTGGCCAAGTTTGAAAAAAAAATGGTTTTAAACAGCTTCAGAATAACAGTATTAAATTTGTAATCATTAAAATGACTGCCTAATAAAATAAATCTCTCCAACGGTAACAAACTGAAACGATCAGCTGAAGAAGGAGAGCAAAAAGATATAATGGTATCATTCAGTGGAAAGTATAGCATATGACTTGTCTGGTTTTAAGTGTCTTGTGTTTAGCTTACAAATACATTTGAAGGAATTGTTGTATTAATGTTTATGATATTATGTTTATATTTGTAATTAGTGTAGGGGTGGGCAGCTTGCCATATTATACTGTGAATGTCTGGCAAGTAAATACCCACAATGTAACTGTTCTTAAAACTTTACCATTTATGGCAATTTTAAAAGTTGCATTTTCCTTTCTATTTCTATAGTTCTGTAATTGTGTATTTTATGCTGTAACACAAGAAATCATAGCAATGTACTTTTTAAAAAAAATCAGCAATTTTTGCAAAGGGATTCTTTATGCCTGGAAAATAAATTAATCCCTGCAAATTGTAACTCTATTGAGAAATTACTTGTGCTCTCTCCCTGTTTCTCCCACCCTGTCTTTTCTTGTGCTCTCTCCCTGTTTCCCCCACCCTGCTTTATGGTAGATTCTTATCCTTCCTGGCTGGTGAAAGCCTCCAGGTGACCTTCAGGCAGGTTCAGTGATTAATACATGGGAGGGGGTATTCCCAGCACCATTTAAGAGGCCTTGGTCTGCCCCATCCTCAAGAAATCATTATCGGACCCAACTTGTCTGGACAATTTTTGTCCCTTGTCCAACCCTCAGGTCTTTCCTGCACTCCAAGTTTTTTTCTTTTTTATATTGTTAACTGATTTGTTTCATACCTATCTAATACCTCTAAATATATACCTAATATGGCTATGGCTCAACTAAGTGGTAGCAAAGATTTCAAGTTTGTGTATCTTGGATGCCTCCTGATTGCTTCTTCAGTGAGCTAACCGTGTGAAGAGGCAAACAAACCACATGCATATTAACACAAAGAATCTTTTTCTCCCCCGGTCACCCTTTCCTTGGGGTTTGTGACATTGGCAATAGTACAGTCAATGCCAGATGCGTACATACTCTGTGCATTGATTAGACCACTGCTCAGTCAACCCATTTAGAAAAGAAAAAGGGGCAGTGGGCAGCAGTCTCTCAGACCCAAAAGAGGGATAGATGTGGATAGATTATCAATTGAAGTGAAAGAGGTAATTCCCCAGGGAACTGGCAGAACCAGTTAGAGCAACAGGAGTCCCATATGGAACGTGTCATCACTTCTTGGCTTCTCAATGGATATTATCACACTTTACATTGTCCATACATGGCCCTTGAGATGAAATATTATGGAAAACAACTCTTCAAGGGCATAGCCCCTCAAACTCTCCTCAAGTTACTTCATCTGTTGGAAGAACAGAGATACAGGTGGGTGGATGGGAATTTGTCCCCAAGAAAATTTTAATGAACTGTATTTATGCTAAGGCAAGGAAGCTGGGTACATTTGCTCCAAATAAATGATAATCCATTAGTTGCAAAACTAAGATTGGATATGGCTTCTTCTTCTCCATCATGTAAAGCAGGGGTCTTCAAACTTGGCCCTTTTATGACTTGTGGACTTCAACTCCCAGAATTTCTCAGCCAGCGAGGAATTCTGGGAGTTGAAGTCCACAAGTCATAAAAGGGCCAAGTTTGAAGACCCCTGCCCTACAGCAAGACTCCATGTTTCTTAGCAACACTTTACTATTTTTCTATTCAGCTAAAGGCAAAAGAACTTTGGTTACTATTTTCTGCTATTGGAGAATATAATCACTAAGCCATGGCATGCTTTAACAGTTTTGTTGAAGAAGCCATAAAGCCATAAAATATGTTGACAGACCACCACATGCAAAGCCAAAATGAAATGTACCACCTAGTGGGTTACAATGATGTTTGAACCCATTTATATTCAATTTACCATGAAGCAAATAGTACCATCTGGTGAGAAGCGAGGAGCAACAATTAAGTCGTGTATCAGCAGAAAAAAGCAAACAGAATGGAAGAAAACATAGCCTAACCAATTTATTTCCTTTCCAAACCATTCCCAGATTTCTAATATTCTGACATTAACATCCAGATTAGAATTTTCCATTTCGTGCAGTTTGAATGAAAAATGGATAAGTGGTGAGGGGTTTTTTTTGAAAGGCCAATCTTCTTTAGAAACGTCTAGTCTAATTATCACTTCTGCCTTTCTGTTTATAGAATATGTGCTAATGCTGTTTCAAACTGGGCTTCAGAAGAGATGGAATTCAAAGCCAGTTAATCAAGCTACTAAAATGCATCAATGTTGAAACTCAATATATTAAGACTTTCTGTGAGAACATTCAGGGGATCATAATTCTGCCTCCCACCCCCAATGTGCTTGCACGTTATGCTCCTTTCTCTTCTCCCATTTGTTCAGAAGTATACTTCTATTTATGCTTTTTTTGGCATAGAACGCCCAGAACGGAGTTCCGGCACCTGTTTTGGATGGAACCTTGTAGGGTAGGCAAGGCGGGTTGTATGACATGTTTGAGTTCTGGCACCTTTTTTTTTTTAACAAAAAAAGCACTGTGCATAACTCTCATAAAGTTTCTTCCAACAGTAAAATTCATTTTGATCTTTGCATGGTTCATTTCTGAGCACAAAAGCCAGAGCAAAATTTCCTATAAAATAATGCAATTTAAAGAAAAATAAAAGCATCATTCACTTAAAATAAAAAAAAATGTGGCACACATTTGCAACTATGAGGGATCAAACCCATGTAAAAATGGGATAGGACTTCTAACTCATGTATGTGTTTACTATTTTCATCCCTGACCAATGGGGGATTTCATGTTTGTACATGAAATTTAGTATATGACCATATGTCATAACCATCTTGAAAACTTCCAAAACTTCTGTGTTTCCTCTCATTTAATTCGGTATATAAGTCTCATAAATAAATAAATAAATAAATTTGTTAGTTAGACAAAATTTGGTAAAATCATTACTGTCATGATCATCCAGTCTGGTCTTTCAGGCCCTATGTTCTATGTTTCAAAACTCTTTAAATGTTTATATAATATGAGTTTAAAAAATAGGCCTGAATATGCTCCATTTCTTAAATTGTCTTCTGGACAGAACTCAGAGATGATTGTAGATGAGAATCAGTGATTTGATTTCCCACCACTGGGGTGGAGAACGACAAAAGCTAAACTTTTGTGCACACATTCTGGAAAGAGAGAAATTCCTTAATCATGGACTCCAATACAAGCCTGAAAGCTTGGAAGAATAAACCTTTGGTCCTGGTGATTGACTCATATTGGATCCTGCAAAAGTTAAACTGTAAAAAAAAAAATTATATTTGGATTCCAAAGATCTTAATGACTACAATAGGTATAAATTCTACCTCTGAGTGGTTGTCTGAACATCTGAAAATGTAAATTTTGTCTGAACATTATTTAAAAAAAAAAAAACCAAAGAAAATCTATAATTTCTTTCAAAACAAGAGAGAAATCCTGATCCTGCCCATGGGTGTAAGCCAGGGGTAGGCAACTTTGGCTCTTTTATGAGTCGTGGACTTCAACTCCCAGAATTCCTGAGCCAGCTTGGCTGGCTCAGGAATTCTGGGAGTTGAAGTCCACGACTCATAAAAGAGCCAAGGTTGCCTACCCCTGGTGTAAGCCATGCCCTCAGCACTTTGCATCATCGTGTATTTCCCATACTACTTAAAATATCATTAGAAAAGCAGGTGATTTATCAGGCCCAAGCCTTCTCTTCAAAGAAGCACAATGGCAGAGCATCTCATTTTTGTCAAACAAACAGAGGAAAAGATAAAGTTCCATTATTTCAGTAATAGATCTGCCAATTTACACCCATAGTAAATTCAAAAAAATCTACCACAGTCATCTACCGAGATGCTCAACTATTTATCAAAGTCTTCACTGTCTTGTAAAATAGCAGCTGGGAGATTGTAGGTAACTCTAAAAAACGGGAGTCCTGTTTGGGGGCCCATACCTCCACCTCAGTGCTGATATTAAACCTCCCCTCAGTACATAGACACAAATAGTCCAGGAAAATTCCATATGGAGGTATCATGAAGCCAAGTCATGTACGGATTTGCAGGTCAAAGTTTGCACTAAGAATTGGACTTGGAAACCTCTCACTAATCAATAAAGAAACTGGAGAATATAGTAGATGTTTTGTTACTATAGTGCTGCATATCCACTAGTGTCCAGGTTGCTGCATTTTGCACCAGCCATAGTTTTTTGGGTTGTAATAGTATTGAAATGTCTTATATCACTTTACACAATCCAGGGATATTTCAACTCTGAAAATTTCAACCCTGAAGCAGCTGTCTCAAGCATTTGGACAAATACCAGAGCAACAGAAATCTATTCTGATCTATTGCTTTTATCTGAGTGATAGAGATGTGTATCAAGAGGAAATCAACAGCTACATCTCTGATCAGGTGGAAGAAAATTGCTCACAGCTCTGAGTCTTCTCTCCTGCTTTGTAAACTGCTGGTATTTTTAAAAAAGCCATATTTTCTATGGAGAAGCTACAGCACAGCAGGCAGATAGTGCAAATTGTGCAGGTAACAGGGCATTCCCATGCTTCACACCCACGTTCTGCTAAGGCATGTGAAATTCCATAAATAAAAAGTTTGCTAATACCATGTTGGTTCGATTAATCCCCTGGGTTTTGTTGGCCGCATGGGCCTTTCTAGCATTTAAGAACGCAAGGCCTTTATTAGTATGTTTTTTTAAACTTTGGGGATGCATTTTGTCCATATTTTTGTGACATGCTATAATATCCTGCAATTCATGAATTTAAGAAGCACCAGCAGTTAGGGGGCATCTAGGGAGCTTACAGCTTACATCAAAATGACAAAATCAGCACTGTGCTGTCCCACTGCAAGCTCCATCCTTCTTGCATATGCATATGATATCACAATGCATTTTAAGAAGGAGCAGGGCTTGCATTGCAATGTCATGCTGTCTCCTCCATTGCCTCTTCCTGCAGATATCATAACTAGCAGTCCCTTTCATTTTATCACCAGGATATCATCTCTGATGTACAAGAAAGTGGCAGCCTCCCAAAAGGGAAGTAAAACAAAAGAAAGACAAGCATCTCAAATAGATGCTTGATTTTACTGAGTGGGTGGTTTTCAGTGCCTACAGGAAAAAAAAATGGCCACAGGGTTAGGGTTGTTAATTGAAAGTATACTAAAAGTACAATTTGTGACTGGCTTTCTGGTTTCGCTTTAGACCAGTGGTTCTCAATCTTTTTAATGCCGCGACCCCCAACCGGTCGTAAGTCGAGGACTACTCAACTGGTGCAGCACCATTTGCAGAATGGGACTTTTGGTGGGCTCAGCAGGGCAGAGATAGCCTGGACAATTCCTATTGGCTTTTGAAAGCCAATAGAATTAGACTCTATTCAAAAGAGTCTATTCTATTGGCTTTCAAAAGCCAATAGAATAAAAGGGAGTCGCACAGCTAAGGAAAAG